TCCCTTTCTTTTACTCGCCCATTCCCACCTGCGCCTACTCCACAAATACACTGAGAGATTATACAGATGGCTCCGATCGACAGGTGAATGTTTCAACAAGAAATCTTTTTCTCACCTTTGCCGCAAGACCTATATTAAACAAGCGGTGCAAACAATTTTAAATGGGCTATTTATGCACCAAATGTTTTAATAACCGTAAGCTCATTCCGCTCGTCCGCTCCCTTTCTTTTGCTTCGTTCAGCTCAATCCTCTGCACATTTTTCGTTGAATCCCCAATCCAGTTATTGTTATCGGTCGTTAAATATTTTGACTTTTGTACTTCGTCGAGAGGTGTAATCATGCTTCCCGTTTCTCGTTCAATTGTTCTTTGGCCAAGCGTTCAATAGCACAACCAAGTCTATTTTGTGTGAATATATTTTGGATTTTTTTCTGTTTTATGTGTAACGCGTGTTTCATAATATATATTCAATTATGCTGCCATATCTTTAATAATCGAACAATTATTTGCTTTGTTCTCCACGCCAAACCTATTTCAACAAATATTAAATATTTATAGCCGATTTCATTTTCCAATCTGAATTCGGTGAACATAGCAGTCATTTCGTTGCCTGTAGGGTGGGGAAGGCGATGATGATGGTGGTTGTGGTTTTGGTGGTCAAAGATTGTATCCGAATACTAGGATAAATTTTAATCGAGTCTGGATTGATACATTCAATCGCCTTTCTGATTTGTAACTTTGGGCATGTTCAGGTTACACTAAAAAATAACAGCAACCAAGCGCTAATTCGACTCTTCCGGAGGAATTGAAAATTATAGATTATTTAAGACCGAAATTTGACCAATTTTTGATTTCAAACAAAAATAATCTTCCCGTTTCAATGACACAACTATATCGCTTTCACAAATCTAGACGATTGTGATCGGAACAAGCGTGGACACTAGACTGGTCCAACAGAAAAAAGTGCCGTCCGGTTTCGAAAAATATACCCCAAAAAAATAGGTTTGGTTCAAAAACATCATATGGGTACCATATAAATTACCCTGCCAGTTTTTATATCAAAATTTTCATGACAGCGATTTCGGAAGCCAATTCATATCTCAACGTTTCGACCTAAATCATTTTTCCAGACAATTTTCGGCAAAAACCAATGATTGGGTTTTGTTTGGATCGTCAATATCTACAACTCTTACCAAGACATTAACTCTTGAAAAGACATTCTGGGCCAGTTACAGTGTAAAATGACCAAAAAAATGACAATTTTAATGGGATTTTTTGCATTTTTTGCTCTACGAGTCTCCCAAGTAGTGGACTTTTGTTTAGTTGTTGACTTGTGTCGTATAGCTAGAACGTGTGCAAAAACTTCGATACTTCTCAGATTGCGATTTGGATGAAATTTAGCGATAATTGATCCTGGCATAAATGACACATTTCTGACCAAAATTGACAAATCACAAACATGAGCTTCGGTTTGACACATGAAAGCATACGATTTCTACCTTTTCTGCCTTTGAACTTCCAGTATGATCTTTTACAAACATTTTAAGTACCAAAACGACCAAATCGAGTGATGATTTCACATATTTCTGGCCTCATATTCGATTTCAACTCTAAAAAATCGACTTTTGTCCAAAAAATCCCTGAATATAGGCTTTTCTGAGATGGTGTGGTGTCTTAGCGCAAAGTTATTTTTTCTCGAAAATGTGGGGAGTTTTCCTAGACAAAATTGACATTTTAAGGTACCTCCCAAATAAAAGTTACGTTTTTCATGCATTTTGCCATTGAAATATCAATTTTTGTTCGGCAGGTACCTCAAAAATATACTTTTTTGGATGAGTTTCTTAGTAAAAAGTTATTTTTTCCCTGAAAAGCCTATATTTAGGGATTTTTGGCCAAAAGTCGATTTTTTTTATAGTTGAAATCGAATATGAGGCCAGAAATATGTGAAAACATCACTCGATTTGGTCGTGTTGGTACTTAAAATGTTCCTAAAGGATCATACTAGAAGGTCAAAGGCAGAAAAGGACCCATATGATTTTTTTGAACCAAACCTATTTTTTTTAGGTGTATTTTTCAAAACTGGACGGCACTTTTTTTTGTGGACAACTTTTTTCTCTTGGACCAGTCTAGTGGACACTGTTGACCAAAACAACAGATAATTTATACAATACACAATCATATTACATACACAAACACACCGACTGGCCCATATTCAGCTCAGTGATGAATTGTTTATTTGAATTCAGTAACGAAGAGAATGGGCACTTTTTAGCAGTTCATTCATACAAAAATAGGGCAAACATCCTCTTTTCTCCCTCTCTCGCTCCCACTCTCTCACACTTGCGTCTGTTGAAATATACATTTTCGAGATCCAGTATAAATTCAATCAATATTTAAAGTCGATTACATAGCTTGCGCTCCCCAGGTACTCGGTCGTTCTCATGAACAAACAGAAAAATACGTTCTAAATATAAACTAAACTGAAATGTGATACTTTTTCTTCTTGTTTCTTTTTTTCCTTGCGGTGATTTGTAATTCGCTTTGGGACAGTCAAACCGAAACAAAAAGATTATACTATATTCGATGCGTTTTCAAGTTTTGGTTTGGTAAACTGGCTAATATCGAGGTAATTTGGCGACGGTGTCGGTTTCCATAAAAACGATGCATCACGACGACCTTTGCCTAATTGTCATTCGTCAGTCGAAAGTATATATATTCTTTTTTAGATATCGCACGACAACCTGCCGATTTAGCGTCACCAAAGTAACACAACTTCTTGATACATGTTTTTAAGGTCCGTGTTGTTGCTGTATAAAACTGATTACACTGTATAGACGAATAGGTTTGACACTTTTAACACACAGGGTGAGCCACTACAAGTCAGCCCAGAACAGAATAGCAATGTATCCATTGTACTAGGCGAATTCCTTAAGTTTCACACAAACAACTTTCTCTCTCTCTCTCTCCCACTATTCTTTTCTAGTTCACCACTCATGATCAACCCTGTGCTTTGACGATAGACCCATTTTTTGTTATGTTCTTTTCTTCATTATATTTTCGTGTGTTGTCTTTGTCTTTGTCTTTATACTCAACTTTAAATTGATGAAAGTAAACTTTTTTATCGTTAAAAGTTTTTTGCATTTCACGTAATATTTTTTACATGCGTTTCTCTCTTTCGCCCTGCTTTTCGGGTGGTTCCTTAGTACACGCTCTTTTGTTTGTTGTATCGTTGTTGCATCAAACATAATAATCATTTCCAATGTTTATCAACTATTTCATCCAAAAAATTTAACGATTCAATCAGATCTCTTTTTTCGTTATCATTAATCTTCTATGTGGCCCCGTCGATAGATATCAAAGCGATTTAAGCACAAAAAACCATAATTAAACTTTTCGTCGATATGCACCGCTGCTTATGTTTCACCAATTGATGAACATAATGGGCCTAATTGTGGCCAGGAATACCCGTATATTAAGCCATCGAGGAAACTCGTTAGTCAGCAGATTATATTAGAATCAAACCGTATTACGGTACAACTTAAAATAGATGAATTATTTTCAGTCACAATGGAAATACGTCCTGAATTATCCATCGATGTCGCGTGAATTGATATTGAACGAACCGACATTGAGATTTCAATTCAATTGAATGGATTTTTGTAATACTTGCTGCTGCATACAAAGTTCAAAAAAAAGAATGAAATTTTGAAGCTTTTACATTCATTAAAAATCGATTACCAATGAAAAGTAGAGGGTTTTGTTTTGTTTTCAATGTGATATAATCTAAGTGAAAATAATTAACAATTTGGCGGTTTTCTTTACCCTCAAATAATAATAACCACTAACATAAAATTTGATGACTTCAGTTAATCGACTAGGTGCCGGCTTTGGCTTTGTGTTTACTTTTGAATGCGGTCAGACGTTCCGTCTCTCGCAGTTACTTGATTTATTCAGGGTGACAAGTGCAATGGAATGGGATGCATTAATCGAATTTGTTGGTCGAGTACAAGATGAAAACATTAATGACGACATTCTAGGCTAAAGCTCGCAGCCGTAAGCATCATTTTGAGGCAAATAAACTTGAAGTCTTTACTTTTTCATTTATTTTTTTTATTTGATTGTCGTTTCTTTCTTCTTTATCCTATTTCGCACGTGTATTTTTCATCGCGTAAATTCCCATGAACGACAGTATTCATTATATCCATTGAACCGAGCTGCAATAGCTCCTGATAAGAGAAAAAAAATCAGCACTTATTGCAATAGATTTTTCACGAATTTCATCTTAGCGTCTTCTATTGGTTGAAGGCGCTCTTGGTCGTTTCGGTCAATTCGATCACAATAAAATGGTTATTCCATTAAAATTACACCCGATTCGATGTGAATATATACACTATTTCATCGTTTGCGTTGCCTTCTTTCAACACCATAATTATCAGCACCCAATTCAATCACGTTTAATTTTTAATGGAATTTGTATACCAAGAGAACGGGCTGCGGCAAGAATAAACAAGAGAGAGGAAAAGGTGAAAATGGTGAATCGAATTCTTTTTTTTTTTGCTTTAGAATCATCATCAATTCTTAGCAAATGGCTTTTTGAGTGAACGATAGTTTGGATCTATTCCGTTGGATTTTATTGAAATAAAAAAAACACATAAAAATACAATTCCCATTAAATAAATTATAGATTTCTCATTTCGTAATCATCGCCTGAATCAATCATACATACATTCGAAGCACATGATTTTTCCCACTTCAGACTAGTGTTGCGATTCGAATTGAAAAATTTCGTGTGACATGACAATGATGAATACTTGAACCATCTGTAGACGGTCTCTGTCATTTAAACACTTTCCCAGAGATTTATCACCGACATTTAATAAAATCGAATCGACAACCCAGCGAGAGAAAAAAAATGAGAAAAAACAATACATGTGAAATGAAATAGAACGTGCTTGAGCAGGAATGGTGGGTTTGATTTTGGACAGCATGCATGGATACTTACCGCAATTCAATAATAAAAAATACAACGAAAATATGTCCTTAAGTAGATAAATCTTCATGATAATGCGTTGATGTGTATGTGATATATCTGTGTAGAAATATGTTGTCTTTTGTCGATGTCCCGACGTTGTTATTTGTTCCTATGCGATTTCTTGTTGAAGAATGTGGACGTCTTCTTCTAATCTGCGTTCACTTTCAACTTTTCTCACTCTGTCGTTCGCTTTCAACAGATCGTTCTATTCTGAAAAGAAACAACAATCGAAAACATGAGATACATATAATTGACAAGTGGACCCTGAAAAGAAACATTTTTTTCCTAAATCTCAAATCGTGTTCTACAATAACAGTGAAATGTATATCAAAAATTGAAAAAAGTAGACACTACAAAGTCTGTGTACTGTGCAGTTGTTAAACATTTTGACTTGCAGCCCTATTGTTGTGTTTTGATACAGTTTATACCATTACATATATGATGATCACCGCAACAATATAACGAAATTGAGAGAATACGTTCAGCTTTACATACGCATACTGTTTTGAATACATTTGGTCTGCACTAAATGAAAATTTATGTCTTTAATTTACACCAAATCTAATAAAACTGCAAGAACTGATTTCCATGCAGCATTTGGACATTCGAAAATGCTACACTTTTCGTATCTTTTGTTTTCGTATAAATAATGATAATATCAGAGCTTCTGAGGCAATAAAATTGCGCAGGTCCTTAACGCTTTCGGTGCAATATTATTTCTCTCCTTCTCGCAGCAAGACATTTATTTTTGTTCCAATTTATTTCCAAAAACCCAAACTAAGCGCCGATAACACGAATGCTAACGAAATTTGTGTCAAACATACGGATCCATATATGTTAGACGGTTGTTCTATTGGTGTTTGCAATTGTTTGAATTTTGATAAGAAAGCTATGAATGGACGAATAAATAAGCTTTATTTGCATGTCAAAAACAACTGCCACTAGTAAAATCTCCACTTAATGCTGACGCTTTGAGTCAGCAACAGCGTGAGAATATTCAGCATGGCAAAATCAAAAATCGTTCACCGTTGATTCTCTGGGCAAACGTTACACTAAACATCCAGTGGATGTCATCTACTTAGACTGAAACAGTGAAATGATGATAGTAGCACCTTACGTGCGAAACTATCTATGACACTAGCAGAGTCAAATTCAAATTCTGTCAAATTCCAAATAAACACTCGGCACTTTTATGTACGAAACAATTCACAACTCAGCTTAGCTCTTTTTTTTTTGTTGTGGGTCGAATTGATAAGTGTCGCATTCGTAGCTTAGTTTTGCTTTTGTTCTATGCAGCATATATTATAAATATTTTTTCTGTACTTTTGACAATCCTCGACGTTTTCTCAATTTTATGTCGCTCGCCATTTCGATGGTTGTACGTTAATATATCAGCAATTTGGTAAGCGAATTCATGGAATGTGTGAACAAGTGAGCGAGCGAAAATAGCGCCAACAACAACAACAATAACAACAAAACATTGGTCCAAAAACGATAAAAGAGACCGACGGCGCAACGACTTTTTTCTCTCTCTCCTTCGGATGTGGCTGGGCACCTCGCCCCGAGTGACAGATTTCTTTTATTATTTTTATTGATGGTCGTAATATTTATTATTCTGAATTTGAATCGTTCGCCCCCATATATGTCGTGTACAGCAAGTACTTAGGCGCTGTGTATGTTTGTGGTTGGTTGAATGCGCGCGCTACCGTATAGAGTACACTCATACGCTACCACGGACAAAACGATAGAGAGATGTGCGCGTAAAGTGTGACCCCCATGTTTTACATGACTAAAACAACACGTAACATTTCATAGCCGAAGTAAATGAGAACAGACACACATAATTTTCACATCAAACTGAATGTGATATGCCGAATAGCAAGTTTATGCACAGTGCACACATACTCACACATACACATTAAGCCAAAGCGCACAAAAACAACGCAAAATCGTATGGAAATGGGATTTTTTTTTATTTATTTACACATTTAATAAATATTTATATAAAGTTTTTGGCCGCAGAAATTCAGCCGAGCAGAGTGTATGACCTCATACGGCAGATTCTCGTTGATTTCTCAGTGCTGTTGCAAATGAGTGAAAGAGAGAGAGAGTGAAAAGTGGAGAAATAAAAATGAAGAAAAAGAATCGAAATCCATACATTTATAACATGGGATTTTAGTGTTTTGTTTATGTGTTTGTACGGCTCTTGCCGTGGCCCGTGTTCTATGATATTTTATGATATAGTATGCATTCGCAATATAAGCAAACCAAAGCAAAGCAACACGACGGGCAAAACGTATAATGTTGATTCCTTGTGAGCAAAAATGAAATGAATGAATGGAAAACACTGAGAAAATATATGTACATATTTGACGGTATTTACGATATTACAATGCACATCAAGGTAATGTACTTCATAATTCGAGTAATACCAACATGAATTGGTAATATTAGGATTATTTATAGGTTGTTCGCGCTTCAGGCTCACGGCAAAAGCAAATGCCACACGTCAATGTTGTGTTGATTTCAATGTGTGTGCACTGTGTGCATACAGTATATTTTAGCCGCTTAACAACAGCAATCGAGGCAATTGAGGAACGGCGAAAAAAAGGAGCAGAAGAAGAAGAAGAAAAACATACAATAACAAAATAACGCCACAGAAAAGACAGATATGCTTGCCATTATTGTGTGAATCGACGATTTGAATTAGGTTTGGTGTAAATAAATATAAATATTATGCAGAATGACGGGAGTGTGAGTACGCTATGAGCGTGCTATATGAAAGAACCGAATCCTGCAAATAAATTACGTTCGAAGCTAGTGTGGTGGAGCCGAAGTGAAAAAAGTAAACAAACACATGAAAATGTGTGGTAAACAGAAATTACCTGTTACTATTACCATGTGCATTGCACAGGGGGATTCGAATCGAAATGGAAAAATCGGATAGAAAGCTGTGGAAACAATCATGATACCGCATGAAAATGCGGCTCAAGAATTTCCCTCGATTTTCCTATCATATTCCCCATTTCATCATTCCGTTCGTTGATTTTCTTGTCTTTGCTTTTTTCTTATTTCTTTGCCATTGCTCATTTCAAGTGCGTACTTACTCACTCGCCCTTCCGACCAAACCGTTTACGCCTACTCTTCTGTTGCTATTTAATGTGTTCAATCAATCAATCAATCAAAATCTATCATAGAATTATTCACAAACGAATATTTAGTCTAGCATATCTAATTATTCAATCAAGAAGCAAAAAGAAGAGAGAAAAATCGTACGGAACAGGACTTGAACATTAGTCAATTTTACATTAAACACAGACCGCTATAAATATTACCTGTGTAGAAAAATCTGGGAAAGAATGGTATGTCGTATTGGCGTGAGTGTGTTTGTGTGGTATGCACAACTTATTCAATTCACAATACCAGACTAGACGGAAAAGTATTGATAAATCACGTTGAACCACTTCACTAACGCTGCTTTTGGAACATTGATGTTTTCAAACAATTTCGCGATCCATGTTGGTCCAAATAAATAAAGTTCCACTGTTATTTCTTTTCTCTGTGTACACATTTGTGCTTGTTTTTCCGTGTCTATTTATATGCTTTTCTTGTCATTATCGTTTTCACTGTTACAGTGTTTTCAATTTTGGACTTTGAATCAGAGTTAGGAAATCAAATATATATGCCCGAGCGAAGCGAGTCCAATAAAGTAACATAGCCTTAAATGGAACATGTCCTTAAATGGGACAGTCGAAAATTTTGGACATCCGAAAGTAGCATCCAAATGTCATTAGTACCAAACGATTAGCTCAACAAACGCTCACTTTTGGTAGTATTCCGAAGAGTTAAGACGCATCGCTTGTTTTAGAAATAATATTGGTCTGAAATTTTCCAAATTAAAGTTTTCTTGAACAATTTCCACACAACCACAGTTTGAAGTGTTGTGAACATTTTTTGAAGTTAAATATATTGAATAGTTAGTAAATTGTGTCTATTTCAATCTACAAAGTGAATTTCTTGGTATTGCGTCATAAAAAATTTTGTGCTGATCCACAAAAATGGCGGCTTTTTCCTTAAATGGGACACTGTGTATTTTTAAGTTAAGCAAGATAGGGCAAGATGGGGCAAAACGGTCTAAAGCAAAGTTGTTCCTCGTGAGTCGCTCTACAACTTTCACCAACACGCCCCAACGATAAATCCACTTATTGGCCCAGAAACGGGGATTAACTTACTTTTTTGACCCAAAAATTTAATTTTTTTCTTGTAACGATTTTTTGGACATACTAGGTGGATTGAAAAGTCGGGTACTTTTTGAATGAAAACACATTTTTTTCGCAAAATTTCATTTCATTTCTCAATATGGGCTCCTTTTAGCTCGATACAGCGAGCCTAATGAGCTTTCAACATTTGGATGTCCTTCAAAAAGTACGATTTATCTTTCAACCCAAAATATGCTAAATTTCTCCATTTTACTCCCAATCATAGCAAACGCTCGCGTCCTAAGACCTTACAATTTAGTTTAAATGACTTGCGAGTTAAGAGTGAGACAATGCCTAAAAAATGCGGTATGCAATGCGGCAAGTTATAGCTTTAATCAATGGATTTTACCACCATAAAATCAATATGTGAACTGAATGAAAATTGTGGTTAAAATGTGTATTACTTTTCCGCAAACTTGTTTGTTAGGAAAAGTATTGGTTTTACTAGCCAAAATTTCATGACATCTCCTCTTTCGGACCACTATAACGTCACGCCAAACTTCAAAAAGCACGTATCTGTACACTAGGCAATGTAGATGGGATGAAATCCTATCGATCAAGACCTATCTACCTCAAAAAACATGTTGTTTACTATAAAAAATGTGTAAAATAGCGATGTGCGTATGGCGTCGTTCGCGTCCGAGTTTTTTGTTCGCCGATTATCTCAAAAAGTTGACGCCGATTTCTTGAAATTTTTGAAATTTTGTTCGAAAATGACACTTTTGTATGGAAAATGGTCGAAATAGTTATATTTTAAGGTCAAAAATGCTATGAAAAAAGGGTCCATTGAAATTTTGGTTAAACATTAAGCGGGAGGTAAACTAAATTGCTGCGGAGCGGAAAAGTTTGGATTACGTATGTAATTCGTTTTATTTTCTTCTTTGATATTTACCCATTTGACTATGATTTTCTATTCCGATCAATCTGAAAATGACAAGATATGTTCTCTTA